AGTTGGCATGGTATCATCATTTCATCCACATAGCATGTGCAAGAAAGATGAGAGGGTTACGGCAAAAACTGGATGCACTTCATGTATAAACGGACAATCTCCTTCGAAGTATCAGGATTTCATACGGAAACTTGTCTGTTACAATAGGCATTTTAAATGAACTACGAAAAGGTTGAAAGTTGGCATGGTATCATCATAATAGTTGTGGACAAAGTCTTCACTTTTTCTTCGCTTGTGTCCTTTCCTTATTGCGTCGTAACTATGGATAATCTTCATCATTTATCAGGATGCTTGGGTCAGCCTTGACTTTGAAGGGAGGAATTTCATGAAACTTTTCATAATCTTCGGACATGTTTGTCTTGCCCTCCACTCCCACGATATCCCTTTTTCCTGAAAAAACTATGTGGCGTTTTGGCTCATCGTATGATGTATTCGCTTTCTTATTTTTTCTTTTTCTCGGTTTGGTAGACATGTCCTTCACATAGATAACATGTGCCACATCATTATCTAGGACGAACGATTCGTCAGTGTAACCAAGATTGTTCAGATCCACTGTTGTCATTCTGTACTGTGGGTGTACCTGTACCCCGCCTCCTGACAGATTGACCCAGTTGCATTTAAACAAAGGGACCTTAAAATCTACTCCGTAGTCAAGTTCCCATATGTCCACTATGTAACCATAATATGTGTCATTTCCCCTCTCGGTGGCTGCATCAAAGCGGACACTGCTATTTTGGTTGGTGCTCTTTTGATCTTGGGCGATCCTGTAAAATGTATTCCCATTTATCTCGTATCCTTTTCAAATTATTATAGTCGAAGATGGTCCCCTGGACAACGAGTACAACTCCTCACAAACAGTGTATTCACCTCTGAGACGTGTTTCCAACCAACTGCTGAAAGTCCTGATGTGTTCACGTGTAATCCAGTCGTCACACTGCTCTGGGTGTTTGGAGCGCAGACTGTTCTTGTGTTCATCGACATAAGGGGTCACCAAGGTAGAGTTCTGTAGAACTGTGTAGTGTGCTTGAGACCAAGAATATCCGTCCCTGCATATTATTGTCTCCCCTCCAAGCGTGCCTTTTCCAGTCAGTCTCCCCTCATATCGTGATTTAGGGAGACCTATCTTTTTAAGGCCAGGAATGAAGTCAACACAAAACCCAATGACATTCTCTGTTTGATGGCCCATGGAGATGCTTCCTTCTGGCCTAGCGCGGTTACGGACATATTTCTTTAGGACTCCCATGAACCTCTCAAAGGGGTACATATTGTGTAGAAATACGGGGCCCAGAATGACAATCTCGTCAACTAGATGAACTAGGACGTGCGTCATGATATTGAAGAAGGATGGTGGGAACACCAGCTCGAAACTGACAAGACATTGCACCACATCACTCCTTAGCCTTGGTATGATTTCTGGATCGATCACCTTCTGAGAGATTGCATTAAGGAATGCACATAGCTTCACAATGGCTAATCGGACATTTTCCGGTAGAAGCCCCCTCAATGCAACCGGAAGCAGTTGCGTCATAATCACGTGGCAGTCATGAGACTTTAGATTCTGAAACTTTTTCTCCGCCATATTTATTATTCCCTTTATATTCGACGAGAAGCCAGTCGGGACCTTCATACTAAGCAGGCATTCAAAGAAGATTTCCTTCTCTTCTTTGGTAAGATCGTAGCTGGCAGGACCTTCATACTGCTTTGGAGGCATGCCGTCTTTTTCGTGCAAGTTGCAGATCCTCCCGTGCCTCAGCTATATCTTTTGTCTTCCCATACACGCCCAAGAAGCCTAGCAGGTTCACGCAAAGGTTCTTTGTCACGTGCATCATGTTGATTGAAGAGCGGACCTCTAGGTCTTTCCAGTAGGGTAGGTCCCAAAATATAGATTTCTTCTTCCACATGGGTGTGTGTCCCTTAGCGTCACTCGGAACAGCTAGTCCGCCGGGACCCTTTCCAAAGATTACGTGTAAATCATTGACCATAGCAAGTACGTGATCACCGGTATGCATGGTGGGCTTCTTCCAGTGATCTGCCTCGCCTTTGAAATGCTTGCCTTTCTTTCGACATTGATGGTTGGTCGGAAGAAATCAACGATGGCCCAGGTACACATTCTTCCTGCAGCTTCCCAGGTATATACTTTCGGTGTCAGTTAAACAGTGCGTGCATGCGTGGTATCCCTTGTTTGTCTGTCCTAAAAGGTTACTCAGAGCGGGCCAATCATTGATGGTTACAAACAGCAACGCGTGCAGGTTAAATTCCTCCTGTCTGTGCTCATCCCACACACGTACACCGTTTCCATTCCACAGCTGTAAAAGTTCTTCAACTAATGGCCTTAGGTACACATCAATGTCGTTGTCGGGTTGCTTAGGGCCTTGGATGAGAACTGGCATCATAATGAACTTCCGCTTCATGCACATCCAAGGAGGAAGGTTATACATACATAGAGTCATGGGCCAGGTGCTGTGATTGCTGCTCTGCTCCCCGAAAGGATTAATGCCATCCGCGCTTAAACCAAACCATATGTTCCTTGGGTCACATGCAAACTCAGCCCAGTACTCTCTCTCGATTTTTCTCCACTGCGACCCGTTTGCGGGTGCTCTCAACTTCCCGTCTTTCTTACGGTCCTCACTGTGCCATTGCATCAACTTCGCAGGAACTCTCTTCCCGTGGGGCTCTTCGTCAACATCACCAGGGTCATCTCGTCTGATCTTATACCGCAATGCACCGCATACCGGGCATGCTTTCAAATCCTCGTACGCACCACGGTAGAGGATGCAGTCATTAGGGCATGCATGTATCTTCTGCACCTCCAATCCAAGAGGGCATACGACCTTCTTTGTTGCGTACATACTGTCGGGCAATTCATTATCCTTTGGAAGCTACTTCTTCAATATTTCCAGTAGCTTCTTAAATCCTTTGTCGAGCACAACATTCTCTGCCTTCAACTGCAGCAATTCCAGTACGATACCCAGCTTTGTGTTGCCATCTTTGCAATTGGGGTACAATCCTTTTTTGTGATCCTCTAACATGCGATCGAACTTCAGCTTCTCCTTTTGACTTTTGCATTGTGTCCTTGCATCGACAATGACCCGGCGGAGATCATCATCGGACACATCGTCTGGTTCCTCTTGATCTTCAGCAGCTTCCCCCATTGCAGCATCATCGGGCACATCGTCTGGTTCCTCTTGATCTTCAGCAGCTCCCCCCATTGCAGCATCACCGTATTCAGGGGGCACATAGTTGTCATCGTCTTCTTCTTCTTCGTCGTCTTCCATCATAACCCCTATTTCTCCGTGCCTCGTCCAAACATTATAGTGTGGCATGAAACCCTTGTAAAGCGGGTGGGTGTGAAGGATTTTCCGGTCAGAGTAAGACTTCGTATTCCCACATTTAGTGCATGGACAACACATAAAACCATTCTGCTTGTTTGCCTCAGCCACTTCGAGAAAATTATGCACGTCCTTAATGTACTCGGAGGTGTGTCTGTCACCATACATCCATTGTCGGTTCATCTGCATGCATTATATATAATTATGTGTGTCAAAAGTAAGAAAATCAGACAAATATCTATCTAAAGTAAGAAAATCAGATAAGTATCAGAAAGAAGATAAGAACAAGAGGCTCACCACGGTGGCGCCGGCGACGAGATCGGCGCGGCCGATCAACGACGGTGAAAACGGGGACGGGGCGTGACGGACCGCTAAATCTAGACAAATCTCGGAAAAAATGGAGCTCCGAGGTCGAGCTTCGAGAGGAGAAACCTTAACTAGTGTGGCTCGGGCATTTCATCGAACACCTCATTTGCCTAGGAGGTGAATTAGAGCACCCAAATGCCCTCTCCTCGCCGGATTGAAAAAACAGAGCACTATGGAGTACTCTGCCGCGGCTGTGGGTATATATAGGCAAGTTATTTGTCCCGGTTCATGGCATGAACCGGGACTAAAGCTCCCCTTCTGCCCCGGTTCAAGCCACGAACCGGGACCAATGGTTGTGCGCCAGGAGCAAGGACCATTGGTCCCGGTTTGTGCCTGGAACCGGGACAAATGGTTCCATACGAACCGGGACCAATGCCCACGAGGCCCCGGCCGGCCCCCTGGGCTCACGAACCGGGTCTAATACCCCCCATGGGTCTCGGTTCTTAAAGAACTGGGACTAATGGGCTGGCCAGGCCCGAACGATAGCCTTGTTTTCTACTAGTGCGCATATTTCCATGCCCCTCGATAAATCGTCATACAGAGCAAAAAAAATATCTTTTTTGAAATTTTTGAATTTAAACGCTCCATTTGTAGTAAAGTACGTACGATCTAATTAATGCCATGAGAGTTGTTTCCGACGTGTTCTTAGCAGTCTAGTTCCTGTTTTGACAGGTCTCTGGTTTGAATGTTCACTCATTCATTCATTTGAATTCAAAATTCAACTACAAAATTTGTTTGAAATATTCTTGGTATTTTCCGGTAACCGTGGTAACCACGTTTACCCGCCCCCCTCGGTAAAATTGCCTCATTCAGTAACTAAATCCTTGCCAGGACCTCGCCCTCGTCAACCGCCCGTGGCTGCGCGACGTGACCCTCCCGGCCACGCTCTCTTCACCATCACCACCCTCACCCGCCTCTACCTCGGCCTGTGGAAGTTGCCGGACAAGGCCGCCCTGCGTGGTGCCTCCTTTCCCCACCTCCGCGAGCTCGGCCTGGGTTGCGTCGAAATGGAGCAGGGCGTCGTCGACTCCCTCGTCGCCAGGAGCCCATTCCTGGAGGTCCTCAACATCCTGGGATGCAAGTGGCTGCGCCTCCGCCTCATCAGTCAGAGCCTACGGTGCGTGCTCGAGAACGGAGGACATCGCCGTGGTAAAGGCTCCGCTCCTCGAGCGGCTCATCCTGTTTAGATCTTGCAAAATAGCTGGTGGCATCTCCACGAGACTCAAGATTGGCGATGCCCCCAAGCTGCATGCTTTTGGGTACTTGGAGCCAGGGCAGGTCCTAAAGGTCCGAGACACCATCGTCATGGTAAATCTCTGGTCTCCATTTTGTTCAGTTAACAAATACTGTATGTTCGACCGGTGGAGGTCCATGACTCAATTGTGTGTTTTACTTTTTGAAATTGGGCAAATTTCAGCCAGGAATAGCAAGCGCAAGTGCCGTGGTCACAAGCGTGAAGATTCTGAGCTTCAATGTCTGTTTCGGAGTTCGCAGTGATGTCCAGATGGTGCCCACCTTCCTCAGATGCTTTCCCAACGCCGAGAGACTGCATATCATGGTAATTCATCCAATACATGTTCTGCTCTTTATATGTGGTAGTTGCGGGGGAGACCGCTGCATATTATGATTGATTGCATACATCAAGTCAGTCGTTGTGAACTTGTGATAGCTCTTTTAAATGGTCTTTTTTTTTGGTCTTTTTGGTTTCGTACCCTGTAATTCAGAGTAAGATATGTGTTATAAGTTAAATTTCATGCCTTGCCATTTATTCTCAGCCACCATACCAGTTCTTCTCGACAATCTATAGACTAGAATACACAGTTAGAATTATGGAGGGTTTCGTGCTGATCTGTTTGTGTCAATGACATTTGGCAAGATTTTTTTTTCTTGTGGCACAATGATTATTATTCCTGTATCTTGATTTATATTGCTTTACTTCTTTACTTATATCCAGATTTTCTTGTTCTAGTGTTTCTCACAGTGTTCTTACGAACTACTAGTATTTGTGCCAACTTTTTTATTTAGAAAAAGAGTATTTGTGCTAACTGCTACTCCCTCCGTCCGAAAATACTTGTCAGCGAAATGGATGCATCCAAACGTATTTCAGTTCTTAGATACATCCATTTTTATCTATTTATGCGACAAGTATTTCCGGACGGAGGGAGTATGTTATTGTCAGGAGGCAATGCTTATTTGAGACTTGTTAGAGTTACACATAGTAAACTAGCGCGCTCATGTTGACAGTTTGCTTTTAGGGTATTGGTATACCAACATTACAAAATTTTGTTAAGACTAAAGTCATCCATTGTGGACTGAAGTTTGCAGCCTCACATATACCTTTATTTGCTGCTCATGAATTATGCTGTCAGATCTTGTTTAGCGCAGCCACATACACCATTCTGATTTCTTCTTCTCTGCACTACTAGGCTCTTTAGTACTTAGTAGTACATTCTGCTACTTATCTGTAAGTGTCCTTAGTCATCACATCTCCTACAAATGGGATCCAGCATTTAGTTATGGATCAGTATATGATTCGCAGTATTTTAGTGTTGAGCAGTTTGCACTGCACGTGGTGTAGATTTTGAACTTGGCAGCAAACATGCTCTATTTGCTCACAAAAATAAAGACATTCATAATACAATTCCCTTTTCTTACCTTGTCTTTCCGGAAAGCTAATGGAAACTAAGGACCAATTTATCTCACCTTATTCTTGCTCTGCTTAATAAATTTCTGTGCATGCCACTTAAATTTTTTGTTTCATCTTGGAGCAGATTTTGTTGCTTGCAGTGTTCTCTCTTGTTTGCATAGATTTGTCAAGTCAATTATCATTGGACTCCTTTATGCTCTTTTTAGTTTTTTAACTTGGGAATGTGAGCCATGTATGTAGTTATGGATGCTAGGCGGCCCGCGAATAACAGAATAAGATGATGATAACATCATCAATATGAGTAGGCGTAAGTGACCAATGACCATATTCATTCTTGACTAATATAGCTAAAAGGCCAAGCATTGCCATTCATTCTCAGCGATCAGTCCATTTCTACTGCCCATGCAGACTAGAGTATGCAATTATAGTTATTGGGGTTGCATGTTCATCTGTTTTTCTTTATGTTAAGTCATTTGTTACCCTAGTTTTGTTGTGCAACAGTTGATTTGTATTGCTTCACTTCTTGATTTGCCAGTATGTCCAGATTTATAATTTTTCTCATCGTGTTCATGCTACCTGGCAATGTGTTGTGGAGTGCCGATGATGCAAATGGCATGTAATGCTTATTTCGAACTGACCAAACTATACATAATAAACCAGCATTTGATGCGTGGTAGTATTGATTTGTCATTTCTCCAACAAGATAATTAATTTGAGCTTCCCTGAGATGCTTTCGCTGGTTCTACCAATTTTTGCAGAGTAAAAGATGCGCTGAACCCACTGGCAACTACCTCACACTCCAGTTCTGGGAAGAGTCTGACCTCGAAGAAAACCTCGTCTCGCGCATCAGTGTGATGAGTTTCCGTGAGTTCACCGGGGAACCAGGCGAGGTCGGCTTCCTCGAGTTCTTCTTCCAGAGTGCGCGGGCGCTGGAGACCGCGTCTGTTTCCATGGCCAACTCAACCTTCACACCGTTCTCGACGCAGGAGGCGTATGCCAAAGTGAAACGCAGCTCGAGGATCAAGGCAAGTGAGTCCAACATGGTTGTCCTTGGAAGCACCGGCCCCGCGGGAGGTGAGATCTGGAGCTTGAAAGACGGGGCGGATTTTTCGTTCCATGACCCCTTCTCTGAAGTGGAGGTGGTCGGCTGAGCTTTAGTTTGTGGGGTGAAGTGGGATGGTTGTTTTCTGATGCAAAACTCTGTCTGCTGCTAACCGTGCCCTTTGTGATGGTCTGGCAAATTTGAGGCTTGATGCAAAACTATGCGGCAGACTGATGAGCTGATATTTTGCTTGACCTGTGCTACCAGTTTCCCTGTCTATCTATCTATACTCCTTGAACCATTTCATTTGTGGCAACATGTTTCATTCCTTGCAGTACCTGGTTTTTCCTTTCTTTCTTTTAGACCGACGGGAAGCCGAAAACGCCCCCCACCCTTATCATTACTCTGCATGAATGAAACATGATAAAAAGATCAGGTTCTTTAATTTCAAAACATGAAAGCAGTAAGCAAACTATGATAGCAGTAGCTAAGTATTGCACTTCAGGCAGGGGAACCAACAGAACCTGCTTTACCATAGCATTCAACGCTAGCCACCCAAACCGGCTTAGCAGAGAGCCATTTCTGGTTGTTAAAAATTGTATCAGCCTAGATGAAGATACTAAAATTGACAATATGGGATTTTTTTTTCTTATGACGTATGCGCCGTTGTGTGGTCGTCAATCTTTTTTAACTGTTGTTTGAGAAAAATATATTGAAACCGAGAACATGAAATTGATACTGCCATTTCGCGAAAAAAAATTGATACTGCCAAGTATACCAAGAAATGCACTTTCAATATTTTATAATTCTTTTTTTTGTAGAAACTAATGTCAGAGGCATCACATTGAAGACTGTATCCGTGTCCTAAGGAACAATACTTTGAAATTGAGGGAGTACTAATAAAAGAATTTAATAACAAACTTCAGAAAAAAATCTCAACAAAATGAAGACAGATATAATAACTACACCAGATGCATTAAGATATCTTTTTCCCCATAGATCCAAAATGCATTATGATATCTACCCATCCATCCAAAAATACCAAGGTGAACATGGTTTCATGCACACCCATGTGAATATTTTTTTTAAAAAAAAAACTAGGAATTTTTTGAAATTCTGAAAGTTTGGGGTATCAAACTTGGTATGCCATTCTACTCACGTGTGATGTGTTACCCGTGATACTCTTAGTGAAGACAATACAATTGGAACATTAATTTTCATCAAACATTGTTCTTCACTATAGCTATGATTTGGTCATTTCTGCAAGATTACCATGGATGTCATTTCTTTGTGAAACATCATACGCGAGTATACTGGTTGATGCAAGATGAGAATGGGGAGGGCAAGGCAAAGCAGTGAATCCTCTCCTTTCCTAGTAAAATTCATAGTATATGGCTTTGGATCATTTCTCTTCCCTTGCAATCTAGTTGAACCTCCCTTGATCTGAGCTGTATTGGATAAGTGCTGTAGTATCGGGACTTTTCTTCACCTGGCCTCACAGATTCAATACCGAAAGACTTCTCTTCGCATACTGACCAGCTAATTCCGGGATTAGCTATTCTCAATGACTGGTGGATGCCTCTTTTCTTCCTTAGAAATCCAGAGAGTGTGTAGCGATAACCAAATCTGACTATACTAGAAACTTGAGGTCATGTATAGGCAACTGGCCTTAGACTAGTGTATTGAGCTACAGGACAGGAATGACCCATCATAATTGCTGAAGAAGCCTTGGAAAAGGATAAAACATATTGGACATTAGGTTTGGAGAGAGATAGGACCCGTTATAATTTAGGAGGAGCTGATGCAATTTTTTTCTTTCCATACGGCCAAATTACTACCGGATCATCGGTCTACTCTACCTCAATTCACCATTCACTTTCTTTCTCCTCCCACCATTTTCTTCACTACTACCGCTTCTACATATAAATCAAAGAACCAGAACAGGTCTATATATAGGGCGATAGGGAAGGGGTATAGAATGGTACTTGAATCTATCTAGACATACGATCCCCAGCCATCGGAATCCATTAGTTTTTGTCTCAATTCGTCATTTGAACTGAAACTAACCACGGGTTTTAAATTTCTAGAAACCACACGATTATATAGACAAAGGGAATACGTCGCGCCTAAAATCATCCCAAGCGCATCTACTGTGGCTACTAAGCTATTTCTTTGGTCCAATCTTTTTAGAAAACCAATTCACTGCGCGCCCACCCCGTCATCGGTCCTATGCTTGTGCTCTAAAACGGTTGCTTACTTTGTACAACTCCGTAGTACGGCAACTTTTCTAACTACGCTTGCTTGCTGGTTTTTTCATCATTCAATCCATAACAAAACGAATGAAACCCAAAAGTGTTGGATCTGGTTCCACCATCATTGGAAAAGGGAAGCTTTTCAAAAAAAAATACCAGGAGTAGGGTCTCCTTCTTGCTTCCCTTTGAAAGAGGCATTCTCTACTTCAATTGTCATCTGACGACTCTTCCCCGGTTGTGGACTCAGACCTTTCAAAAAAAAAAATCAAAATCAAATGAATCCGAATTTAACCAATCTATCGCCTTTGATACTTGTTGATAGCCTCCTCGACCCAAGCTTTCATCTCCTCCTCCAGACATCGACGTTTACCCACGACCACAAATTTCTTATCTCCTATTACCGCTGCAGACTTGGACTAATAGGATTGCTTGAAGTGAAGACCAGTAAACAAAAGGATTTACACGAAAGAATTGCTGACCTCTTTCGGTATAAGGCCAGGAAGGAAGCAAATGGAAAAGGAACACCGAGTGGAATCAAAGAAACTAGCGGACTGATCAGTAAATAGATACAAATAGGTGCAAATTCTGACATGATCAAAGGCCACTTCATTCTCTCGCTCTCCTCGCGACGCTCCTTACTCGATTCCTATCAATACTTCAGTTTTCAAGACCGACTCTTTCAACCGCTCATACATCCATCCCCGCGCTTGCCTGCCCTATCTATCTGCGTGCTGGCAGGTAGGGGCAACTCTATGTGATTCACTACGGATGTGAGGGTGAGAAATGACGGAGACGGTTACAGAGGGTTAAGACCATATAGGGGCCTAAATTAGGCAAGTGTGGTTTCATTTGCTTTAAAGCATCAAATAAGTGGCTGACCATAGCTCAAAGGTAAATAAATAAGTAGCTTTTTTGAGATAAAATAAATAAATAAGTAGCTTTTTTTTGAGACAAAATAAATAAATAAGTAGTTTTTTTAGCAACAATAAATAAGTTTTTTTTAGGCAAGCTTCAATAAATAAGTAGTTTTTTTTTGAGGGGTCAATAAATAAGTAGCTGACCAGTGGGTTCCGCACTCATGGGCCGGTTAGTTTTGGCCCAACCAACATCGAAACCTCCACTCAGTGGACGACGACCGAGAGTGTCCCCTCCACACACAGACATCCCCACAGACACCACTCAGAAACCCCAAATCCACAACCACAAACCCTCGCCGGCGCCGCCGACGGCCATGGCCGAGCAGGAGCAGCCGCCGTTCGCCAACGTCGACCCAGCGACGGCGGCTGATGCGCGGCTCCAGGGTCGCGACCCCCGCAAGCTCGACCAGGCCGCGGAGAACGTCCTATCCTACATCTACGCCACCCTCCCCAGCTTCCCCGTCTACCCCGGCACGCGGCTCCCCGCCCTCGCCGCCTCCTCCGACGGCGTCGACCGCATCAGCCTCCTCCCCGACGAGCCCCTGCGCAACATCGTCGCCCGCCTCCCCGTCAAGGACGCCGCGCGCACCACCGTGCTCTCCTCCCGCTGGCGCGCGCTCTGGCCCTCCACGCCCCTCGTCCTCATCGACTCCTTCCTCCTCCCCAAAGGCCAGGGCTTCCGCCCCACGCCGGCCAACTCGCCGGCACTCACGGCCGCCGTCTCCGACATCCTCGAAGCGCACCCGGGGCCCTTCCGCTGCATCCACCTCATCTGCACTCAGAGCACGTACCGGAACCAGCTAGCGCGCTGGCTCCAGCTCCTCGCCGCCAAGGCCGTCCAGGACCTCGTCCTCGTCAACCGCCCGTGGCCGCGCGACGTGCCCCTCCCGCCCACGCTCTTCACCATCACCACCCTCACCCGCCTCTACCTCGGCCTCTGGAAGTTGCCGGACACGGCCGCCCTGCGTGGCGCCTCCTTCCCCCACCTCCGCGAGCTCGGCCTCTGCAGCGTCGAAATGGAGCACGGCGTCGTCGACTCCCTCGTCGCCAGGAGCCCCGTCCTGGAGGTCCTCAACATCCTGGGATGCATCAATGGGTTGCGTCTCCGCCTCCTCAGCCAGAGCCTACGCTGCCTGCAGATCAGCTGCTCGAAAATGGAGCACATCGCCGTGGTGAAGGCTCCATGCCTCGAGCGGCTCATCATTTTTGGATCTGGCGAAATCGCTCGTGGTTTGTGCAGCAGACTCAAGATCGGCGATGTCCCCAAGCTGCACGCTTTTGGATACTTGGATCCAGGTCAGGTCCTACAGGTCCGAGACACCATCATCATGGTACATCTCTCATCTCTGGTTTCTCCATTTTTGTTCAGTTGGCAATTATGTCCATGACTCACTTGTGTGACATTCCTTCTTGAATTGGGGGAATTTCAGCCCGGGATAGCAAGCACAAGTACCATGATGAGAAGCGTCAAGATTTTGAGCTTGAATGTGCGTTTCGGAGTTCGCAATGAGGTCAAGATGGTGCCCAACTTTCTGAGATGCTTCCCCAACGCTGAGAGACTCCATATTTTGGTATTTGTCATCAATCCATATTCTGCTTGCATTTGTACGGATTTCTTGCTTATTGTTGCTGGTTGTGATAGTCTGCTCCCGGGCACATGTACACCCCGTTAGAATAACCTCCCTCACAACAGAATAAGATGATGACAACATCATCAATACGAGTAGGCATACTTGATCAATGGTCATATACATTCTTGACCAATATATCTAAAAAGCCAAGCATTGTTATTATTCTCAGCCATCAGGCCGTCTCTATGCACGCAGACTGGAGTATCAATTAGAATGATTGGGCTTGCATGTTCATCTGTTTATGTAAGACATTTGTGAAGTTTTGTTGTGCCATAGTTTATAATGCCATTGTTTTGATCTCTATTTCTT